AGGTGGCATGTAGGGATCTTTGGGAATAGCATAGTTATAGCACAAAATTTTGTCAGTGATATAATATCCGAGCTGATCGGACTAAAGAAAAATACCCAAGACAGGTTGATATAACTGATTGAGTTATATCAACCTGTCTTAAATATTTTTTTCATGCTTAAACTTTGGTCCGATCAGCTCGGATATTACATCACCAACAAATTTTTGTGCCATAACTATGCTACCCATCTTTGGAATGCCTATCATTCAAGTCTTCGGGATGAGCCACGAAAATAGCATTGGGGCACAGGTGTTTTTGAGATTGTCTAATGTTTAAAAATCTTTGGGACTACTAATACTGTTAGGCCAGACCAAGTTGATTATGTGGTTTACATTACCCTCTTCTCCTCTTCAGAAAAGGGGAGAGGAGGGGTGGTTCACATAGTAAATTTTAATTCAAAAAAAAAATTTTTCCAAATTGTTCTATAACTGTATAAAAATTTTCTGAAATATCCTGTAATCCTATGTATATTTATCTACTATGAGGGAGGGGGGCTCTAAAGTGGAGGTAATGTAAAACACATAATCAACTTGGTCTGTCCTTAGCTATAGATGCCTTCAGGGTTGTCTGATGGTAAAATGAATGTTATATAACAAATGAAAGTTAGTTGGAATGAAAACAATAGTTAAAAATAATATTAATTTACAAGCTTATTGTCTTAGGATAGACATCTCAATAAAAAACGAGCAAAAAACTGTAATAATATGCATTTATATATGCAAATTCATATCCATCGTCCAATTATAAATGGAATATTAAACAAGACAATAAATAGTAAATGTGATTATAACTGAGATGCATTCAATATAAAGAGGAATAATCGAGCAGAAGTAAAGATAAGCATGCTTTAACTATAATTAATTTGTGTTTGTTGTTAATGAATTATAATTTCATATTAGGGTAATGACAAAAGTTCAAAGCAAACAAAAATCAATCAATATTTCCTTGCTTATACTGTGATCCCACTTCTGCTTTCACAAGAAAAGAATGAACTTAATGTGGATTCTTTGGATTTTAATAATGTGGAAATCTCATATTCACAAGAACTATCACCAGCTAAGGTCTAATAATTTTATCTTTTTATACTTAATTATTGTTTGTTATTCAAAAAGCTTTTCTGTATTACAGACTTCAAAAGATTCAATTATAAAGAGGCTCATTACTGATAATTTGATTATTTTTGATTGCGATAAAATAACACACATATATATTTTACACAAACCCCAAACTTATACCAATATGCATATTAATTACGTACACATATCTATGTATATACATACATATATATGTATATTTATGCTTTTTGATTCTGCTGATTCTGTTCTTTAAGCATTCGTTCATT